TTTTTTCCAGGACCCATTCGGAGAATCATTTCTTTGTTGCCAATGTCACCTCTAGAGGGTTTTCGTTAGCTCTCGTGCCAGAGAACGCCATGCACTGCCTACCAATCCAGCTGGCCTTTGCCCAGATCCGTTTCAATTGATTCAGCTTACCCCTTTGAATGTGCCCATATTACCGCTGATGGTTGGGGCTGGCTGCTTGTTAGTTTTTCGAGCCGACCATTTATTTGAACAAATTTGAAGCATTCATTTCAATCACTCACACTCTCTGTGTCCCTGTCACATTTTCCATCTTCTCTTTTGATTTATTGCTCGAATGCCTTGCTGTGTGTGGTTTGCTATGTTCATCCGTCTCTCGTCACGGAATGTCTCAAAAGTTTTTTTAAATCAAAGCAAAGACGTAAAGCCATTTCAATCGACCTTTCTAATGTTACAGCTTGCCCGCCGGCGCTCTCATCTGGGAAAGGTGGCATGTCCGGCGGCTCTATGCAAAAGACATTTCAAGAAGCAATGCGACAACGACGTACCAGTTTACCGGCCAACAGTTTGACATTCGGAAAAGCTCAGGTAAACAACCATTTCCTTTTCCCATTGCAGTTTTCGCTTTTGTTTCAATTATGAATTTTTCTCGACTTTTTTCCGAGCTATACATCTTACAACAGTCGTGTTCCTATGAAGGGGCGGAGCATTCCGTGTCAGTGCTACTTTCCGGATTCCAATGTAATGTTAATGCATTCATGGCCCCGAAAAATGTGCGCAGATTGGTCATTACAGGTGTGACAGGTTTCACCCTTTCCTCGTGTCCTTTTTCGGAGAATTCCTAAAGTCCTAGAGTGTTAATGTGGGCAATAACGTCGTAAAACATGGCCTAATGGCTGGGACGAGTTGTCGTACTTCTTAGGAATAAATCTTCGGAATTCATGACTCGTATTTCGCGATTCTCGATTGATCTGGAGCTCCATTGTCATAATACGCGGCGAATAGAACAAATCTAGAAAAAAAATCCCACAATCCACTAGTTCCCTTGTGAATTCGCAGCCTGTCACCGCAATCTGAATCGATCATTCAGATACACTTTGAAGGCAAACAATGACGATAGCACAAAGTGCACGAACATCAGACATCGGGCCCTTCTTCATCCCACAGGATTTCGGTCTCCCACTTGTAATCGGAGGTGTTTTCAGCGGAAAAGGAATAAACGACTGCACTAAAGGGGGGGGGGGGGGGGGGGGGGGAGTGCATTTTTTCCGAAAATTACACGCGTCGAGGGGTCACGGCTTAGTTTATGTGATGGCATGTAGCGGTCATTACTAGGCATATGAATTAGCTTGAATTCATTCCAATGCGCCACTAGCGGAGTCGAATCTGGGCATCTCTCCCCATGCCGTTCCTGATGATCCTCGGGTCGTTCCATTTTGGACTTAGGCATGCATAGATGGGACTCTTCAAAGGGAGTGGTCAAAGGTGGATGAAGTAACGCGTGGCATCTTAAGACCAATAGGGGAAGTATGTGAGGCAGACAGGGTACAGAGATATTTGAGCCCTTCTGAGGTAGGGCGATCAATGCTGTGAACAACGTAGTGATAACATGTGAGGGATATGAGAAGGAAATCCACTCTGTAGAGAACTCAGCGACGTAATGGAGGGTTTTCACGATGCGTTGGGATTGAAAAAGGTTTAGGAAAACACCCACACGTTCGCTTGGTGTAGCCTGAGCCTGGGAAGCAAATCGTCTTCGGAAAGAGTGAAGCTAGAATAATAATGTAGATATGTAGTGTAGTGTGAATGGAATTCCATATAACGCAACTAAGGCCGACTGTTTCATGTTAATGGGATCAGGAAAGGTCCAGCGAATGCATCTTAGGGCTTCTGAGCGAGCATCTTCGAGACTCCTCGGCTGCGATTCCTCTCCCATGAGTGTGACCTCCCAGTGTATTCTTCATACTATTTAAGAAAATAAACATCTTTATTTTTCGAACCTGATTGTCGTGATGAGCAAGAATCCACCCATAGCTCAAGAAAGGCAAAGTACACTGGAGTTTTGNGACTGCGATTCCTCTCCCATGAGTGTGACCTCCCAGTGTATTCTTCATACTTTTTAAGAAAATAAACATCTTTATTTTTCGAACCTGATTATCGTGATGAGCAAGAATCCACCCATAGCTCAAGAAAGGCAAAGTACACTGGAGTTTTGGATATTCTTTAATTTCCTTGGCATATTTTCTCAATGAAAACAAGTATCGTCCAATACATCCTCGACAAAACTAAGAAGTTGAGGTCTTTGAAGAAGGAATCAGGTAATATTAAGTTGATGCAAAGCCCTGAGACACTCAATTGCACGTTTTATGTTCATTTACATTTTTATTCAAACTCTCTCTCATTGGAATATATAATAATCTTTTCATTTATGATATTCATCCAACGAGAGGACAAGTCGGCTATTCTCTTTCCTAGATAATTAAGGACTATGAGTCGGAGACGGGCGGTATAATCGGTTTTGTGTGATCGACTCGCCGGGCGCGGCTGTCGCGGACCATTTGCTTCGTTATAACAGTTCTAGCGTGCTACATACAGCCCAATCGATATGCGATCATTACTTTAGGCGTTTTTTCTTTTGCTCCTGTATTTCTTACCTGCCGCCGCATCCTGCTACATTCCTTCGCGCGCGGCGTCCCTCTCGCCGCACGCGACCATTTCAATCCAACTGCACCGTCTGTGAAACAAAGAATTTGTCCATAGCATTTTTGAGGTCACCAAAAAGAGCGAATTTTTTTCGCAGTTGTTGCGCCAAAGTTCTAAAGTGTATTATGTATAACAGAAAGGTTATAGTCGGAAGGCGAGGTCAATGGAATACGTGAATTGTTCTAACCATGTTTCTGTAACCTAGATGTGTGTTCTTGGGTACAAGAGCCCGACCACCAGATATCAGGCAGGAGGCTAACGTCGCTTTTCTTTGACTGCAAGAGATATAGATGATTGATGTAGAAGAAAGCTGTGTTATCTGTCTGGTCTTGAAAAAATCCGCTCCGGCATCGCTTTTTTTTTCGAGTACCAAGAGGAGCACAGCAAAACCTCCCTCGGATTTTATTCTGACCTGGGCTCCGCAACTGGATCTTGCCCTTTTAGGAGTCGGACAGCGATCCTCTTGTTGTTTTATGAAGGATCCAAATTTCATCTCTCGTCACCAGATCCTGCAGGAACTCCTTCCGATTGGAGGGTGCACCGAAGGAACATGGGACCGATTGAGACAAACGTGAAGGAGATCAACCAGATGGTGGGGATCTTCAAACGAAAACTTACCAGACCATCTTCGTAGTCTCTTCTTCACTTCACTAAAAAGTCGATCATGATCGTCTACAGCAAATGGTCGTCCGAAGGAAAAACATTGTCGAATGTTGTATCTGCAAAATAAAAGCGATCGAATAAACGGCTAATGGTCTCATAGCTGGCGGAGTCCCCTTTAATGTAATGTCCGGATGTTGAAGACAGCGGAACAGGCCCTGGAGAAACCTCCGATTGTACGAAGTTAATTTCCCGTTAATTCGCATGGTTCACAAGAAACCTATCGGGAACCGGGGACAATCGGGGCTTAAGTGAATAGAACTTAGAAATTTCTGAGCTTGCTCTGCTCTGAACTGAGGGATGGTCCGAAGATGGCGAAACTTCTCCCTCTGAACGACGATGCATGTGAACCTACGTCTCAAGGCTTTCACATATACCTCTTATTATCAATTAATGTAGTTCGTATAGGGCTGTATAAAACGGCTTTAGTTATTTCCCAGTTATTGCCTATATGGAGCTCTATAAGCTCACTGAGCAATGCAACCGCCAGCAACATTTCCCAAGACGCTCGCCTGCTCCTCTCAGAGGGAGAAGATCCCTCTTCAAAGGAGAGGGCCGTATCGACCCCACATATTTCTTCAGCTATATGGCCCTGATCCGAATACATCATTTATTTCGCGTCAAGCACTAACAGGTTCCTTTTTGCTGGATTAGCCCTTCAAGTGCACCTTGATTGAGGGCAGAATAGGTCATTAAGTCGTGAAAGCAGCTCTCCAGAAGTATTTAGGTCAAAGGCATGAAATTGCCGCGTCTCTTTTTTCTAGTATCCGGTCACTTATTGCCATGCTAAATTGCATGACCGTTTTTCTGCCCATGATCTTTGGAGCCCAAGCAGGCCCAGATGCAGCAGCNGTCGACATAGTTCGTTACTGCGAAATTTTTCATCCTGTTGCGTGTAGTGAGACAGTGAGTATTCCCCTTGGATAGTGCATGAACGATGATCGTTTGCATGCACATTTCGACTGCGTGCAGATCCCATCGTACTCGGCCCTACGGAATCTACGAGGGGTCGTTGAAATGCCCATTCTTTCCTCTTCCTTATCACCTGTACTTTTGAAAACACAGAATTCGTCAGGTTCTTACTGCCCTTGCAAGTGTTAGGGTTCGAATAGGTGTGTTTTCCATCTGAACAAATATGTATAGCAGTTGAGTCGGATCGGGTGGCTTTCATCGTTATAGAAAGTTTGGATGAACGTCGATGATGTCAGGCAGCGTATAGTAATGCTGATGGATCCCTTCTTTCCAATAAGTTTACAATTTGTTTATTGCTAAAGTCTGCCGCGATGAATACCCTATCAGACTTTATGTTAAGGAAGGGGTAACGGAATTTCTCCCCGATTTCCCACGGCCTGCGGCAGTGGTTCCGCGGCGATTCTCCGCATCCTTTAATTGGGGATCCCCTCCATAGTGCGCGATCATAGCGCGCGATCGCGTGCGGCGAGCGCGAGCGAGCGCGAAACGCCGTTTGGGAAGAAAGTGCCACACCCATGCTAAGGAGCCCTTGTAGGGATGTGTTGTAGTGACAAGTAGCGCACTATTACAGGTACAGGTGCAGGGACTAACTCCTGAAGCGTTATACGCCTAGGTCAACAGTCTTTTATCCTCCCGCTCTCGGTGAATTGGTACCGGACTCGTCTGGGAGTGAAAAAACATTGATGGCTACCACAACTATTACAAGTATAGGCTACACCATACCTGCGCATCCAGTGCGTCACTGTGATCTTGAATGGAAGTCAAATGCGGTGTGCATCAAAAGCCAAAGCAGGCAGATGCAGCAGCGTCGTCGTTTTTTGTTAGTCGACATAGTTCGTTACTGCGAAATTTTTCATCCTGTTGCGCGTAGTGAGACAGTGAGTATTCCCCTTGGATAGTGCATGAACGAAGATCGTTTGCATGTACATTTTGACTGCGTGAAAAGCTCATTCTACTCAGCCCTACGAAATTCAAGAGAGGATGTTGGAAAGCCCGTTTTTGCCTCTTCTTTTCACCTATTTTTGAAAAGCGTTAGGTTTTTAGTGCCTTTGCAAGTAATTGGGCTCGAAGAGGTGTGCCTCCCTGCTGAGCAAATACATATGTACAGCAGCTGAGTCGGATCGAGTGACTTTCATCGTTTATATAGAAAGCTGAGATGCATGGTGTCAGTCAGCGTACAATAATACTGATTTATCGCTTCCTTTTGAAAAGGTCAATTCGTTCATTGTTCACGTTCTGGTCCTAACAAGCACCGTCGAAGCTAGGATGCCCTCGTTGGAAGGTGGTGAGTGACATGTAGCGCCCCATCATATGCGGGGTCGAATCTAGGATCGACACCCGCCCAGTTCAACAAAGCCTTTCATCCCTCCGGTTTAATTGGTGCCAGTCTCGTCTGAGAATGCAACTCACTGCAAGTACAGGCAATGTCATACGTACGCATTCAATCCGCCACTGCGATCCTGAATGGAATTCACATGCAGTGCGCATCCCAAAACGGGACTGATTACAGCCAAGGACCTTGTGCTTTATCCATCACGTTACTGTNACTCACTGCAAGTATAGGCAATATCATACGTACGCATCCAATGCGCCACTACGATCCTGAATGGAATTTATATGCAGTGCGCATCCCAAAACGGGACTGATTACAGCCAAGGACCTTGTGCTTTATCCATCACGTTACTGTATCATACACTAACGTGATAACAAGTCGTTAAACCTAAGCGTTATCATTGCAGTAGAAGCAAGGAAGAATGCTTTTGACCCTATAGTGGTATGGAACTGGTTTGCCATAAAAAAAAGGAGGGCTTGGGGCGAGCCGGATAGTCCGAATGGCAAAAAGTGTTTGATAACTCATGTCGCTGTTCTTTTCGTGAAGACTGATCTTTCATTGAGCAAATTCTTCCCTTCCCTGAGATGTACACTGCCATATCTGAAATGCTTCATTCACCGGTTATCGTCGGTATTTTATATAAAACTAGCTGTAGTGAACGAATGAAAAAGATAAACAGCAGTAAGTCGCTGGCCCAACCCAAACACTGCTCACTGCACCTCTTATCTTTGCAAAAATATGGAAAATCCGACAAGAATCAACAGAAGTGGTGTTTGGGTAATTTTATTGCCCTCACTATCGGATTAATAGCGCTTACCCCTAATTGAATCCCCAATGAAATGCTCATTTGGAACGAAATGGCAGTCATGGAGGATGATTAAAATGTTGGGATCCCCACATTCTCAGAAACTTGTAAGACTTGGTATTACCACTATACATATATTACAGTATTACAGTATTACATTGAAATAGTTACTGCACCTATCAGTTTTCACCATTCATAAGCAATACCTGCCTCTAATCCATGTCGCATGGTATTTATTCGAGTTATCGCAGAACTGGCTCAAGGTGGTGTAGTGGCAAGTGGCGCCCTATCACATACACATTGCCACCGGTTCGTATCCCGGACCAATATCCTTCTGGGTCAACCCAGCCTTCCATACTTTCGGGGTCGACTATGCGGTACCAGACTCGTTTGGGAATGTGAAAGCACTGATTTGTACATAGGCTGGCCACCGCANAAGGTGGTGTAGTGGCAAGTGGCGCCCTATCACATACACATTGCCACCGGTTCGTATCCCGGACCAATATCCGCCTGGGCCAACCCACTTCCTTACTTTCGGGGCTGATTAATTGGTACCAGATCCGTCTGGGAGAATCAAATCACTGACTCATACGTCGGATGGCCACTTCGGGTTATTGTATGGGTTGCATATGCATTTAACAAGCCACCGTGATTTCTTAAATTACAAACGCTGACATAATTTTTGTTGTTTACTTTGAATCGTTTTAATTGAATTATTTTTATTTTAAATTTGAATTGATAAATAGCTAATGCTGTGGAACTGGTTCAAAGAATGTGTTATAAGAATTTTCACCGATCGAAAATGTCACTGAATATCAAGTTTTGCAGATCGTCCAGACCTCTAATGTATCGGAGGCTCGGGGTCTTGTTGTCGACATGTTGGCAAATCGTGACCTTCCGCCAAATGTCGCCTCCTGCCTTCGTGCGGTCGCCTCTCTTCTGAATCCCCACACGGTGAGCTTTCTTCGTAGTTGTATGCTGCTTTGAACAATCCACCTACCCAAAGTTACTCCTCTTTCCCTTTCTTTTCATTTTACAAAATTAATATTCCAGTCCCACGGAACTCTTTTATTGAGGGTTGTTCTTTCTCACTGAAAGATCCACCCGGTTATCGACGAGGCTACGTAAGGCGTC